GCGGCGGCAGGGGCGCGCGGCCCGGCCCTCGGCCCGGCGGGCCCTCGCCTCACCTTTTCCAGCAGCTCCGCCGCCGGCCCGTCGTCCTCCTCTCGCTCAGTGCCGTTCGCCGCCGCCTCGGCCTGACAGTCGCCCGTAGGGGAGAACTGAGGTCGCTTGAAGCGCTTCGTCCGGCTCTTGCCCATGGCGATGTGCGCCGGGGAACGACCGAGAGAGGAGGGCAGCAGCGAGACGGTGGGGGCTGCCGAGCTGGTGCCAAGGTCCTGTCCCCTAGGGGGCTTCGCGCCGCTGCTCAGCGACACCCGCTGACGTCCCGAGCCCACATGGGGAGGCAGTGCGCAGGCGCGCGGCGTGTCGGCGGTGGAGAGGGGGCTGGCGCGGGCGGCGCGCAGGCGTAGAGGAGATGGGCGGGGCCAGGCCGGCCGAGGGGCGGAGTGCTGTAGCTATTCCCGGGAAGGAGGCGGATGGATTGGAATGGTAATGACCAATGGCAAAAGTGAAAAAAAATACACCAGTTGCTGATGTAGCCTTTCAATTCTCTATTTTGTACGAGCAGCTTAAAAATTTCTTCAAATAGAGGACTAATATTTAAATTTTTTTTTAAATAAAGAAAGCTGATAACTAGTGGTCATTGCCTGAAATGAGCCAGATTGATTTTGTGCTGTTAGGTTATTTATATCTTTGCCCTCGGAATCTATTGCCTGCCTTGTTGGCTGTTTGGCCAAGTTAAACACTGTGAAAAATACCTAGGTTAGAACAAGTCACTTCTACCTGGTGGGATTTAATCTTAATACAGATTGCCCTAAATCCCATCGAACTCACCCAATCTTTGGAAAGGGACAAACTTTAAATGGTTATGATCAAAATGGATACTAAGTACTATTGTTCCAGAGTGCTGAGAAAACATTTTAAGGGCATTCTATTTACCAAAAAGTCAACAAAACCAGTTGTTCCATATCCTCGCCCAAACCAGTATTGTTAGTCTTTCTCATTTTAGCCATTTTAGTGGGTGTATAGCAACCAGAACTCTCAAAAATTGCTGGTGGGAATGTAAAATGGGACACCACTTGAGAAAACAGTTTAGCAGTTTCCTGTAAAGTTACATACACTCAGCCTATCATCCAGCAATTCCACTCCAAGGTATTCCCAAGAAAAGTGAATATATCCACAAGACTTGTACGTGAATATTCATGGAAGCTTTATTAATAATAACCCCAAACTGGAAACAACCCAGATGCCCATCAACAGGTAAATGAAGAAACAAGAAAGAAAAAGGAATGACTCACGGATACACGTATTAACATAGATAAAATCTCAAAAATATGTTGAGTAAAAGAAGCCAGACACAAGAGTATTGTACTGTTTGATTATGCTGTGATTTCATTTACATGAAACTCTGGAAACCACGAATCTGATCTACAGTGATAGAAGCTGGACAGTAGTTGCTGGGGGCTGGGGGCTGGGGACGGGAATTGACTGGGAAGTGGTGCAAGGGAACCCTTTGCAGCGATGGAAATGTTCTATATCTTGCTTGTGGTGATGGCTACATGGGTGCTACATTTATCAAAATTCATCAAACTGTACAGTATTTTATAATAATAAGAGATTTATTATCAGTAAGTTAAACTCAATAAAGCTGATTTTTAAAAAAGCCTGCAGAGGCTTTTTTAAAAGCCTGTGACTCACATACTAAATAGAGGAAGACTGGCACAGATGTTAGCTCAGGGCTATCATCCTCAGGGAAAAAAAAAAAAAAAAAAGCCTGCAGAACCTATCCCTGTTTTGATCAGTTCCCCTAGACTCACTGGTAATTATAATGGGTTCCATTCCAAATTTGGAGAGTGAGTGTCCCATTTGGCAGTTAGTAAGGCAGTCTCTTGCCTTACTTCTTCCCAAGCCCTCTCTAGGAAACATTCTCAACCCTTCTACCTGTTTCTCATATTATTATCTCCATATTCCCAAATGATAAGCTATTGCTCTTTCTAATTTGTCAGTATCATATTATTTCTTGACTTCTTGCCCTGGTAGATAAGGATTTAGCTCTCCTATACTCCCTCCCCCATTTCTCCCTCCATCCAACAAAATGGCACACACAATTCTTAATTAAATCAACAATCACCGTCTAAAGTACTAGGACAATGCAAATATTGCTCACTGCTGCACTAGGAAGTCCATTAAAACCACCGTTCCTTTCTTGTGCAATGCTTCATTTTTCTCGGAGTTAATAATTGCCTTTTTTTTCATTATCCTGGTTTCCCATCAATCTGTTGTTATTTTTTCCCAAATATCCAACATCTTTCTCTATCAACAATATTTTCCATACGTTCAAACATATCTATTCCAGTTTCTTCCCTGTGATCTCCTTCCTAATCTCCTGCTTCCTATCTGGACTGCGAGCTCTTTAAGGATGCTGCATAGTGGTCATCCTGGACTTGGATTGTGGCTTGTGTGTTGGATTCCTCATTTCCTATGTGGTTGTTAATACAGGAAGAGACAGTATTTGCGTTCACTATGATAATGCTGTTTACTGTGGAAGCTCTTGGCCGGAGTCATTCTACATTATTTATTGGAAACGTATTCTATATGCATAAGTTCACAAATATAATCAGATATAATTCAGCAACAGGGATTTCAGAAACCCAGTCCCAGCTCCTAGGTTGTTTTTCCAAACTGTTGCTATTCAAGTTTACTTTTTCTGAATCTTGATTCAAACAAACCAACTGTAAAAGAGACATTTATGAGACAATTAGGGAAATATGGGCTGAATATTTGATGGTATGAAATGATTGTTAATCTTTTAGGTGTGATATGGTATTGTGGTTATGTTAAAAGAGTCCTTATCCTTTGGAGATATGTACTGGAATATTTACAGGTGAAATGATAAAATATTTGGGATTTACTTCAAAATAATCTTTTATGGGGTGAGGGAGGAAGCAGAAATAGAGTGCATAATCAAACAGTACCCAACTTCAACAACAGTACAATACTCTTGTGTCTGGCTTCTTTTACTCAACATATTTTTGAGATTTTATCTATGTTAATACGTGTATCCGTGAGTCATTCCTTTTTCTTTCTTGTTTCTTCATTTACCTGTTGATGGGCATCTGGGTTGTTTCCAGTTTGGGGTTATTATTAATAAAGCTTCCATGAATATTCACGTACAAGTCTTGTGGATATATTCACTTTTCTTGGGAATACCTTGGAGTGGAATTGCTGGATGATAGGCTGAGTGTATGTAACTTTACAGGAAACTGCTAAACTGTTTTCTCAAGTGGTGTCCCATTTTACATTCCCACCAGCAATTTTTGAGAGTTCTGGTTGCTATACACCCACTAAAATGGTTGTCTAGTGGGGAATACAGACAATTGTTGAAGTTGGGTGATGGGTACCTGAGTGTTCATTTAATTACTCTTTCTACTTTTACATGTTCTTAAAATTTTCCATAATAACAATTTGTTGGTTTTTTAAAAAAATGGTTTTCAGGGTTGAGCAGGGAAAAAAATAAGTCTGATGATATTGATAGATAACTGTAGGAAATTTAAAATTTAAAAAGCAACTTCTAGCTAGGATATATCTCTTGATTTACTTAGTTATTTTAGTTTCCCTACTCTTATTTAAATTACAAATCTTAGCATTAGCCTTCTAGCTTAAAAATCTCCCCTAAAAATAAATAAATAATGTAAGAAAACTTATGAGTTAGTGTAATTATGTACCAACCCAATTTCAATACCAAAGTCAAGATTCATTCATTCATTCATTCATTCAGCCAACAGTAACTGAGCCTCTTCCATATGCCAGTTGCTCTTGGGTACTAAAGATACACATATGACAAAGACTCAGAGACTTAAAATAAAAATTAGTTTGTAATAAGAAAAAGTTATATTTCTTACATACATTTTATTGCTTAGTCCTTACAACAGTTCTGCAAGATAGCTGTAATAGGCCCAAGTGAGCAAAGTAAGGTTCAGAGAGAATAAGTCACTTGCCCAAGTGGTCAATGAAGGAACCAAGACTATGACCCAAGTCAACCTGCTGGCCTGTTCTTCCACTACGAATGGCCCGAAGCCCCCTTACCTGGCCGATGACATCATGCCTGGTTTGAAGCAGCTCCCTAGTTTCTTAGAAAGATCAACCCTCCTCAGAGTGTGCTCCCTGGAACACTACTTCTGTGTAATATTCTGTCAGTCAGGGTCTTAGCTGCAAGTAAGAGAAGCTGACTTTGTCTGATTAAACAGAAAACAGATTATGGAAAGGATATTGAGTACCTCACAGAATTCTGGGGAGGTCTAGAGAGACTAGTCCAAGGTTAAGCTTTTAGAAAAAATCCCCAAACCCATGCCATTAAACTGGCCTGATGAGGAAGCTGGTGCCACCACCACCAAGCACTAAGTACCCTGCAACAGAATCACAGCTTCACGGCCTCCCCCATGCCTGTGTCCCAAATGCAAAGGAGTCAGGGAAGTTTCCCGGGTTGTCCTGGGAGAGGCTAGACTGATTCAGCTGATACCATTCCCCAAACCTGGCAAGGGTACTCAAAAGGAGCTTGGTAGACAGCAAGTATGACAAATACCCAAATATCCAGTGTACGTTAATAGGTATTTCACAAAATGGCAGGGAAATAGGCAGAAACTACTGCAGGACCACTTGTAACTTTTAACATGCTTTGGAGCATGGGCAATCCCCAAGAGGAGGATACAGCAGTTCCCCAACACTGGTGATCATGGAACTTTACTTCTGTAACAGGTTACACAGGATGGAAAAGTGGTGGTGGTAGGTTTATGCTCAACTGCTCCCTCTTCAGGCCTCCCACTAAGTCCCGCTCATCTGACTTCCAAAAGCTCTGACTTCTCTGGTTCCACTACCTGAACTCTAGTTCAGGAGCCTGCAGCTCCCAACTGCCCTCCCAGGCCAGGCCCCCTCAGTTCACACAGTAGTTAGTCGTGATCATAAAATGCAAATCCAGTTAAGTCACTTTCCTACTTAAAACACTCTGGTGGCTTCCTCCTGCCCTCACCAAACTCCCAGCAGCTGGTTCCTACTTACTTGCATCCTCATCTCTTGTCACAACCCTTCTCCAACTCCATGCTGCCAGCCGCATTCAAGAACTGCCTCTGCCCCACCACCCCACCATTGACCCTTCATATCTGTTTGGAAATAACCTTCTTTAGAAAGTCTTATCTGGGCCTGACCCCCTTCCCCTGGGCGTCCTACATTTTTACCTTTCATAGTACTTAAACCACATGATAACTCAAACCACATGATCACGGGTCTGTATTCCCCACTAGACAAGTTCTGGGAGGGCAAAAATTCTCCCTCACACATTTTTATTATCCAGCAAAGCACGTGCCATTTAAAGGGCGGTCTACAAAGCTGATGAAAGAGCACACCTGAAACTTTCAGGTAACATATCCTTCTACTTTCTTATCTCACACAATCAGATGTGCATAGGAGACAATCCATCATACACTGAAAACATTAATTTTTAAAATGTTTGTGTTCCATGATGCATTCAAGATGCACTTCCTATTTTTAGTGAAAACAAAGGGGAAAAGATAGAAATTATACTCACCTAATGTAAAAGCATATAGAAAGTTTAGTCTGAAGGCAGAATGAGACTCAAGTTTCTAGGGTTTCAACAGGAGAGGAAATGATAGAGCCACTTGACTTGCTGACGAAGGCAGAGCATGTCAGCTAGGATTCTTAGCTCAGCCTCTACCCAATGCCAACCGGAGTCCAGTTCTAAAGGAGAAAAGAGCTCCTCAAAATCAGCACTATCAGGCAGCCACAAGCGTGATGTTTTCCAGTGAGGTTGCTGGAGAAGAGGAAAACACCCAGAACCATTTTAGGTTTCGTAATCATTAGAGGCCAAATAGCCTTTCTCTTTGCATTTAATCTAGTATTCAGGAGTTTGCCTGGTTCAAAAGATAAGCAGAATTTCCTCATAGTTATCTCAATTGATGTTGACATTGGGAAAAGTTGCAACGAGATCTATTTTTTTTTCCACTTTTAGGATTTGGTTTAACTAGATTTACTGAGCATTGACTCTGTAGCCAAGCATGTCAGTGCTTTACATGAATTGAAATGTTTAATACTGGATAAAAACCTGGAAGACTGGCATTACACCTATAATCCTATATATTACTTACCTAGGAGATTGGCATTATGCCCATTTTATAAATGAGGAAACTAAGGTTACATAATTTGCCTAAAGTTACAAAACTACCAAGTAGCAGATCTGAGATTCAAATCCACAGTCTGGTCTAAGAGACTACATTCTTACCTATCACATTATAATGGTTCATGTGAATTAAGTTTAACACACACACAAACATCCTTCCAGTTTGAGTCAATGACTTGGTTCTGGTGCTGGTTCTGTCTTTAATAAGTCGTGGGGACCTAGAGTAAAGTCACTTGGAAAACCTGAGACTGTCTTCCCCACCTGTGAAATTAGAAAACTGGACTCAATCAGTAATTTCCTAATAGTGTGGACAGCGGGTATGAGAGGGGGAGGGTGGTGGTGAAGAGAAGCTAAGCTGGCAAGGATCCTTTGGCCATTTCAACCAGGGCAAAGAGTTTTTGGAAAATGAACTGTTCTGCTAGAAGTAAAGGTATGAAAAAATCTTTGGAACTGTAACAAAAGTTTCCTTCTTGGAGCCAATGAATTCCAAGTAGTCTGGCTTCATGAAATCCTTGAAATCCTCTGCAAGTGCATGCAAAGTATATGTATGTACACAGGTATATTTTTCTAGGGAAGAAGATTCAAGGCTTTCATTAAACACTCAAAGTAGCTGATGACTCCAAAAAGGACGAAGGACCAATAAAATCCCTCTTCAGCTTTATACTCTTGGAGGAAACTGGCAATCCAAGTTCGTAAAGCTCTATTTGAGAAATCCTGCATTTCCTGATTAAGAGCCAAATATTATTAGACAATGACGAATAAGACATATTAAAAGTAATCACAGCCTAACAAACTGGGTGCCTACAATTGCTACTTGAAATCTGCTCTACTGGATACAGAATTAAAGTAAAATATCTCATTTGGAACTAGCCTGTATCTGACACACACAGTATGTTTTTAAATTTTTTCAGAGTTACAGACTAACAATAAACCAAGGAAAAAGCCCACTAATTATATATAAAGTATTTATTTTTATGCACATATTTACCTACAAAATTTACAGAAAATAAAACAACGCAGTATAGAATACCCTCTTTAGACTTCTTAGGAGCAGAGGGTTTTATTGCTGCAGTTCAAAGAATAAAATTTTATACACATGAAAGCCAAGATAAACACATTTAAGTTAAATGGTAGCCTTGTTAAAAAGTTTTTGTCCCGTAATTGAATTTTCAGCTTTATGTTAAATGAAATTTAAATGACTGCTCATGAAATAATTTAAACCTTTTCAAAATCTTCAAATAAACAGGTAAAAGGCACCTCCAGTTCTTTAAAATATTTACAGCAATCCCAATAGTTTAATTTTTAGGGTTACTATAGTACATGTGGCTAATATGCATACACAGTATGTCATTAACACTCTCTGACAGTGAGAATTGTCGACGAGTTTGTGGTACTGCTCCCAAGTTATCCTTGTGATGCAGTGGACGAGCAATTACACCTGTGCAACACTAGTTTAACAGCATGTCTACCCCAGCATAAAATCTGATCACCTAAAACAATGACAATCAAATTCCCAGACAACACATAATTTATAACTAAACTTTATATTCAGAAGCCTTGAGTGTTGTTAAAATTATTAAAAATATAAAGTATATTTAGCATTAAATGAAAACAATGAACTGGAAAATATCACCACAATAGTGGCTAAAGTTCACATTTAACAAAAATTGTTTTTCAAAACATCTATAATTTCTTACAACATAATGGAGATGAGTTTTCCTCAGTCTAAGTTCAATCCGATGTTACTCCTGCGTTATGATTAAGAGAGAAGTGTGAGAAGGAAAGGCACAGCTATACACAATAGCTGGTTTCACAGAGCTGTGGAGATGGCAAGCAGATGTTCCTGAAATACTGGTGTAGGAGAACAAAGTCCACATAATGTTTTCCTCTTTAACATTGGCATTGATTTACTATTTACAGTAGTTTGCAAAAATACATTATAAAAACTGGATGAGGTTCTAAGTTTAACTTAGTAACATACATATATACTTCACCTGCAAAAATCTTTGCAGGATCTGAAGTAGTAAAGTGACACTAATACTGAAATACAGATAATCAAAGGTACCAAAGCACTGATAACTTGAGTCATCATCATCAAGATAATCTGGGTAAATATTGCACACTTCTTGTCAGTTGTTGCTATGACCTTCACATATCCAACTGTAAGAGGAATCCTTTATGGCTTTTTGCTATATCACTTATTCGAAGAAAGCTGTTTTAGGTCCCATAACAATGAATGCAGATTGTCACTGAACATGCGGCCTAGGTTTCAAAATTAGTTTTCCTGTCTGTAAAAATGAAAAAAAAAAAAATTGGTTTTCAATACACAGTTCTAGCAAAAACACCACCACTCATCTATAAACCGTAAAGGGCATTTGAAGGATATGAGAACACATCTCTATATTTAGTCAAGATTAAGCAATTAATAGTTGTGTTTTCTTTTTTTTTTTTTTTTTTAAGATTTTATTTATTCAGTTTTTTCCCCCCAAAGCCCCAGTAGATAGTTGTACGTCATAGGTTCACATCCTTCTAGTTGCTGTACGTGGGACTCGGCCTCGCGTTGGACGGAGAAGTGGTGCCTCGGGGCGCTCCTGGGATCCGAACCCGGGCCGCCAGCATCAGAGCGCGCGCACTTAACCGCTAAGCCACGGGGCCGGCCCAATAGTTGTGTTTTCAAAGTTTTCTTTGTGTGGAACTTTTTTCTAAAATCTTTATTCCTTTAAAACACATACATATAACCTTTATGGATGAATTGCCTGTCCACTGGCTACCCCCAAATCAGCCAATCAATCCACTGGATAAAATCACATCCCGACTCGTATAGACTGATTTATGCTCCTACCAAACAAAGTTTATAAAACATAAATGAAACTCCATATCTGAGCCAAAACATTTCTCCTCTTCCAACATTAAGTTTTTATTTCCTCAAGTTAAAACGTAAAACAAGTTTGGAGCAACAGACACTCATATACTGCTGGTGTTCAGTTTAAGTGGAAACAACTCTTCTGTAGGGCCCATTGCCCTGTTTATTCAAAAAAGAGAAAAGTACATACCAGGTAACCCAAACACTTCCACCTCTAGGAATTTACTGAAGGAAACCAGATGCGAGTGTAAAGATGTACATGTAAGTGTGATCAATTCTCTCACTCAACATTTATTGAGTGCCTCCTAGGTGCCAGGCCTGTGTGAAATGCTGGGGATCCAGTAACGAACTCGACAAAGTCCCCTGTCTTCTAGTGGAGAACACACAAGGTATATAATACGGAAAGTGTGGAAACAACTGTACGTCCAATAGGGGTTAAATTACAATGCATCCATAAAATGGGACAATATTTAATTAAACAAAATGGAAGGTCTTAATTGAGATAATGCAGATAAAAAGATAAGCCCAGGGCTTCACACATGGTTAATGTCCAATAAGTGGTGGCTTTTACATTCCAACGTTGGGTCAGAGCAGCAGGTTTGAAAAGTCCATAACATCTTTCTTTTATAAAAAGTAAATGAGAACACACAATATATAAAATATGGTGATTATCTTTGGTTGGATTCTAGGAGGTTGTAATTAACATTTTATTATTATCCTCAGGTCAAAAGTGTTGTCAGGATTCTGGCTACCTCTCGAGTCTTTCACTTAATTTTTGGTCATTTAATTTTTGGTAATTCCTTGATACCTTGGTAGAACTTTGAAACTAATTTTTCCACTGTTTTATTGAGGTATAATTTATATGCAGTAGAATGCGCAAATCTTGCGTACAGTTTTATGAATTTTGACAAATGTATACACCCATGTAGCCACCACCCAGATCAAGCTACAGAACACCACCATCACCCAGGAAGTTTCTCCATGTCCCTTTCTGGTCAATGGTTTCCCCACTCCCCACATGGACATAATCGCTTGCCACAGATGAACTTTGCCCGTCTCTCATCTCTAAATAAATGGAATCACACAGTGTTTCTCTGCATCTACTTCTTTCACTCAAGGTGTTTCTGAGATCCATCCATGCTATTATGTTTCAGTAGTTTGTACCTTTGTATATACTATAAAATATACAGTATTCCACTGTATGAATATACAGCCACAAAATGACGTTTTGATCAATGACGGAACACATACACGACAGTGGTCCCATACGATTACACCCTACAGCCTACGTGTGTAATAGGCTATATCATTAGTGTGTGTCTAAGTACACTGTGTGATGTTTGCCCAATGAAATTGCCTAATGATGCATTTCTCAGAACACCTCCCCATCACTAAGCAAAACATGACTGTACCACTCTGTATCCATGGTTTTAATCTATTTTAAATTACATGAGTAAGACATTAATGTAAACTCATTATTAAAAATTCAAATAGTATAGATAAACAAAAGTCATCCTTTCCCTCTACCTCAAATTCTAGCCCTCTCACAGAGGAAACCAGTTTTAGCATGAATTCTTCCAGATTGTTTTCTATGGATTTACATTCATATATATAAATGATAAATTTGGTGTTTCCAACATGCTGAAATATTTGAGGGTAAAATATATCACTTGGGATTTGTTTCAAAGTAATCCAATGAAGGGAAGGTGGGCAGGGGTACACATGAATAAGAATGGCCATGAGTTTATTATTATTAATACTGGCTGATGGGTACATGGTAGTTCATTATACTCTTCTCTTTACTTTTTTGTTTGAAAATTTTCATAATTAAAACTTTAAAAAAATGGTACCAAACTGAGCATACTGTTTGGTAATTTACTTTTTGCACCTAACATTATGTCTTAGAGATGCTTCCATGTCTATATTTACAGATTTACTTCTGGTTTCCTATGATGTGGCTATATCATAGCCTATTTTACCACTCCCCTGTTAAGAAACATAAAAATTGTTTCCATTTCTTCACTACTGCAAAGGATGCTGCAATGAACAACTCTGTACCTGCCTCCCTGTGTGCATGTGTGATGCCCACCCCCATCAGGGTAGATGGAGATGAGAAATGGTTAGGTCATGAGGATGCACATTTTTCATTTTATAATGACAAAAACTGCCCTCCAAAATGGCTGTACCAATGTATATTCTCAACAAGCAGTGTATGGGTGCATCCATTTCACCACAGTACTGGAATTATCAAAGTATTTAATTTTTGCCAATCTGACAGGTAACACAAATGGAAACTCAGTTTTACTTTGCACATCCCTGATTACAAATGAGGCTGTCCAGTCTTTAAGTATGTTTATTGGCCTTTTGTATTTCCATATCTGTAACACGACTTACCTTTTCCCATTTTTAAAATGTACTGTTTGTCTTTTTCTTATTGATTTTTAATAGGTCTTTAAATATTCTGGACACTATCCTCTAACAGATACCTTAAAAACACTTCCTTCTAGTCACTGATTAATTTCTTGCCTTATGCTATATATAATTTTCAAATGTTGGTGCAATTAAATGTATCCAACTTCTTCCACTTTGGCATTTCTGTTTTGTGTCTTAAGAAGGCGTTTTTCTATCCCAAGGTTATAAATATATTCTTCTATATCTTCTTCTAATGCTTTTATGGTGGGATGTGTATGTCTTTTTAAACATATTTAAGACTTTATCTGGAATTTAGTTTTTTTTAACTGATGTGAGACACAGATCTAAATTCATTTTTTCCAAATGAAGAGCCAATCCTCTCAACACTACTAAATAGCGTATTTCTTCCCTTTTGACTTGAAATACTATCTTTATCCTCTACTAATTTTTAAAAAATTGAAGTGTTTAGTCTTTATTCTCTGCCATTGATCCAGTTGTCTTCTTCCTCTAATACTTTTTTTTGCTCTTTATTCTAATCTTCTATACTGGGTAGGTATTATCTGTTTAATAGTTTTTAAAATTGAAGATTAAAAACACTTTTATAAATAAAATAAGCAAATCAAAATTGTGAGATACTCTTATCATAATACATCGATACATGATCAACTTTTAAAAACACAATGGGTTCATATGTCATATGTCCTGGACAAGGGTCCAGGATCCAGGATTGGAACAATTGGCAGTAGTCTGCCAATTAATCTATGAGTCTATTTAAGATCCTACATACAGACTACCATTAGATAAATAACAGTAGTTTACAAAATCAACACCCACTGAGCCATTTTAGGCCAATAATGACCACTGCATTTCATTGAATCTAAGATGGCTTCGGGCCGGCCCCGTGGCTTAGCGGTTAAGTGCGCACGCTCCGCTGCTGGCGGCCCAGGTTTGGATCCCGGGCGCGCACCGAAGCACCGCTTCTCTGGCCATTCTGAGGCCGTGTCCCACATACAGCAACTAGAAGGATGTGCAGCTATGACATACAACTATCTACTGGAGCTTTGGGGGAAAAAATAAATAAATAAATAAAATTAAAAAAAAAAAAATAAGATGGCTTCAATCATAAGATGAATCATGATTTTATGTCATTAAGAAAGATTAAACTGTCAACTCTATCAATTTAATTGTAAACACCATTGTATTAGATGCATCTCAATTTCAGAGATGTTAAAATGTAAAAAAAGTATGTCTAAAAATCAGTGCTATAAGGAATATTCCCACTATTAATTCCATTGTAAATAAAATGTCTGTTTTACTTAAGCCAAAACATTTTAGTCCTTTCACACATCTATAATTTTCTAATGAAAAAAAAATACTTACATCATCACAAGACATATTGTACTCTGCTAATACCGTTCTACATCGAGCGGCGATACTGAATAAATGTGGTCAAAGGAAAATTTATCATTTCAAGAGAAAGTTTTCAACAACACCTAGATCATCGAGAAGGTGCTTTAACTCAGTCCAGAGAACAAAACTCAATTCGTGGTAAAGGATACATTGACGGTGCAACTACTCTCTTGTGTATTCCAGCAAAGAATAAGCCTATTAGCGTGATACAGCTGATGGTGAAAAATGGATGATTCCATAAT